ACAGAGATTTTTCGTGAATTTTTTTTGTGGTTGAGGATTACCATTTGCTTTAGACAACCTAAACGTGAAGAAGTCTTGAATGGGGGCCTGTTTTTGTCGCTTCCCTGGCTTTGAAACATTTTGTTAGATTTTGTTTTGAAAAGCTCGTGAAATTTTGGTGTGTTTGGTTTAAGGGCGTAGACGAGGCAGAAGAGGACGACGAGGACGACGAGGAAAGCGTAAGTGTTCGGCGTCCAAAAACGCAAAAACCAGTGACAACCTTTGCCCCTATTGACAATTTCTTAGATGTGCGTGTAGTCATGTTAGATTTCGCTCACCTTGATGTGCGATAGTTACGAATGCCATTATAAATTGTAAAGAAAAGGCTGATGAAACATTAAGACTAAAACAAAACTTTAAGCTTTCAGATGTTCAACTTGAATCTTTTCACCTGCTGGATATTTTGCAGGCCTCTTTACGCGATCGTATGAATTCTTTTTATTACTGTGAGGATCATTTTATCCCGTTCGTATTAACAAGGGTGTGCCTTTTTCTTTTGAACTATTCTGGGTTCTTTTTTGCCACAGTTTGCGTTTATCCAAACGAGCATTACGTTGATCTAAAATAGGAGAGTAAGGATTAGTTTAAAAAGGTGAAGCTTTAAATATTAGTAAAACATTTTCGCCACATAGGCACCTAATCATCCGTCTCGACATATAAAGAGTTTGGCGGTTTGTTGACAAAAGGCAATAATTATTTTATTGAATGCATTCTTGTAAACAGAGTCAGTGTAAGGTATTGTTGTTTTATACAGGAAGGAGATACATCCGCTACCGTGGAATACGACGCAAGGTAACAATCAGAAGGAAATACTTCAGTGGACGGAAACGTATTTCCAGGTTCAGACGGAGAATAAGGATTATAATCCGAAGAAAATCTAGGAAAATAAAACGCTTCCGTAAACGATGGCGAGTGAGGATTAGAAGGAGATGGTGCGGACTGCGAAGATTCGGTCGAAGGTGGTATGTAAGGAGAAGACGAAAATGGAGGANACAATTTCTTAGATGTGCGTGTAGTCATGTTAGATTTCGCTCACCTTGATGTGCGATAGTTACGAATGCCATTATAAATTGTAAAGAAAAGGCTGATGAAACATTAAGACTAAAACAAAACTTTAAGCTTTCAGATGTTCAACTTGAATCTTTTCACCTCCTGGATATTTTGCAGGCCTCTTTACGCGATCGTATGAATTCTTTTTATTACTGTGAGGATCATTTTATCCCGTTCGTATTAACAAGGGTGTGCCTTTTTCTTTTGAACTATTCTGGGTTCTTTTTTGCCACAGTTTGCGTTTATCCAAACGAGCATTACGTTGATCTAAAATAGGAGAGTAAGGATTAGTTTAAAAAGGTGAAGCTTTAAATATTAGTAAAACATTTTCGCCACATAGGCACCTAATCATCCGTCTCGACATATAAAGAGTTTGGCGGTTTGTTGACAAAAGGCAATAATTATTTTATTGAATGCATTCTTGTAAACAGAGTCAGTGTAAGGTATTGTTGTTTTATACAGGAAGGAGATACATCCGCTACCGTGGAATACGACGCAAGGTAACAATCAGAAGGAAATACTTCAGTGGACGGAAACGTATTTCCAGGTTCAGACGGAGAATAAGGATTATAATCCGAAGAAAATCTAGGAAAATAAAACGCTTCCGTAAACGATGGCGAGTGAGGATTAGAAGGAGATGGTGCGGACTGCGAAGATTCGGTCGAAGGTGGTATGTAAAGAGAAGACGAAAATGGAGGAAGATTAAAAAAGTCAGACTTGTGTTGAGATGGAGAAAGCGAAGACTACGGATTAAACGGCGAGGGAAGAAGTGGTTCATACAAAGAAAAAAGCGATGGAGGCGTGTTCGGCGTAGAGTTCGTTGCAGCATCCGGTTCCGTAGAAAGCGTTTGAGGGTAAAGCTGATTGGTAGAAGAGGCGTTAGAATCTTCAGGAAGGGTCGATATGGTAGAAAAAGGAGGGTTCGCTTTAGGCGTAAGTTGCCAATGAAGCTAAACAATGAATTATAGTTTCCTCAATAAGACATGCATTCGTTCAACAAGAGCATCTCGTCAAGTTAAAGAAGCAACGAAATGTTTCTTTTGAGTGCAATAGGAAAGTGTAATTACCGCTATGTTTAGGAACGAGTTAAAATTTCCAAGTTGTTTTAAAGTTACAATCTGGAGAAGTCATTGAAGAAGTCAAGATTTGAGGATCGTTGAATAGGAGGTTATTTGATAAATCATGTGAATTAAACTCAATGCTGAAGTGTTATCTTCTTAGATAGTTAAAGTTATGAGCCTCCATATCTTTTTTCTTTTAATATGCCAACTTTAAAAAAATACTTATAAAATGTCATGTGAACAGCTTGTTCGTCAATTTTTTTATTGTGATTTCGCATTACGATTTAGCCTACGTCAACCTTGAAGAATTCTTGAAAACTGACATTTCTGAGATCAAGTCGCATCCCCTGCTACATTACATTTTGTAAAATGTTTATGATTAGCTAATCTACATTTTAGTGTGTGATTGGTTTCAGGTCGAAGACGCAGAAAAAGAGGACGACGAGGACGACGAGGAAGACGTAAGTATTTGTCATCCGAAAACGAGTAAAAAACTGAAAACCAGTGTAGGTGTATTGGCAATGAACAGAAGTGTGTTTACTTGTTAAGATTTTCTTGTGGTGTTATACAGAAGTTAGGCATTCGAGTTTGTCAACAGATTGTGGCTTTTGAGTCGAAGGTACAACGATTTCACGTACAAAGGAACATTAGTGTGTCCCTGGATAGTAGATGACATAACTATAAGTCGCTTATTGGAAAATAGGCACTTTTTTTACGAAAAATTAGCATAGTAGGAAAAATATAAACGATGTAACAGGAAGTTCTTTTTTGCACCGTGGCGTAAATATCAGTTCGCATAGTTGTTTCTCTTCTTATATCTAGCCTTTACGAATTGCAATGAACATATTTCCAAGCATACAATTTTTTTGTTTTGCACGAAAGTCACCTAAAGTTGTTAGTAGAGCACAAAATGCGATGAAATCAGCCTACGATTGGTTTATAGGAGTTTTATTCGAAATGCAATCGGCGGCTTCTCATACAAGCTCTGACAAAACGAGATGTCCCTTTTTCATTTACCTTTTCTAATAACAACAAACATATGAAACATATGAGTGAACTGCGGTTTACTGCGAAGGATCGTTCTTATATACTTTTCTAATAAGTTAATAATTATTGACGTTCGTGGTCGTGAGAACAAGCAAAATGCACTTCAACATTTCGCGAAATTGAAATGAAGACCAACAACTAAGGCAGGGAAAATTTAATGGTAATTCTTTGTAGAAACTTCTCAAAACTTATTATCATCAATTCTCGTGTAGGAAGGGTCACAAGAAGAAGGAGGAGGCGCCGGCGACGTCGAAGGCGTCGAAGGAGACGACGAATGAGGAGAAGACGAAGAAGAAGAATATTACGAAAATACAAACTAAGTATGTGGATTAATTTGGATATATCAACAAAGTTGAAATGGTAAATTGGCCACCGTAATGATTACAAAAGCTGACGTTTCGAGCGTTAGCCCTTCGTCATTCGCTCCGACGAAGGGCTAACGCTCGAAACGTCAGCTTTTGTAATCATTACGGTGGCCAATTTACCATTTCAACTTTGTTGATATATCCAAATTATTTCGTTACTCCCACCGACGCAGCCCCAAACAGTTTCTTTCGAAACTATCAGCCTTTATTCATAAGTATGTGGATATTTGCTGTATTCCAGTTGTTTAGCTCCAAGAGTCTTTGATAGATATACGATCAATGAACACCATCTTCGCTGGGTTATAGAATATTGCCAATGAACTGTTGTTGGCTCTCTGCATTAAAGAGCTCTTCCTCGTTTATGATTTTTTAATCAATGCTGCGGTCTTTCTTCTTTCACCAAAAACTAGTATTTCCCAGCTCAACTACTAATTATGTACCCCATTCTAAATATTTATGAATCGCATCATTGAATAAAATCTGATTGGCTAACGAAGCGAGGTATTTAGAGTGGAATTGCAAGTTGAAAACGAGGCCAAGTGATATTGTTTCGTATCTAGGTAAACATAACAACTTTAAGTAATGCTGTTTCCTTTTTTTTTTCTCATTTTATTCAATTATGCGATTCAAGGAGAATTCATTACTTGACTCGTGAATTCTGCACTAAATTGCACATGAAAACCGATATTGCAACTCATCGCTTCGTGATTGGTTCAGTATCGGTTTTCTTGTGCAATTTAATGCGGAATTCCCTCGTCAAGTAATGAATTTTCCTATAGAATACATCACGAACTAACGGAATGACCCGTTTTCGGTTGACTCGATAGCACAGTTGCATTAAGTGCTGAACTGGTTTCGAAGGGCACTAATTGCTGAGAGTTGTTATAACTATTTTATGAACACATGAACAGTGTTAAAAGCTCGAATATAAGCCAGGACAAGTGACTACGGTCCAAAGCTTATGGGGGGAATTTAATTCTCATTTCTTGAGAGGAGGTGGGGCAATTTAATTTATAGTAAACGCACAATGTGAAGTTCCTTGAAAAATAAGAGGATACTGATTGCTTATGTGAAGGGTAAGAGCATTTTGAGCACTTTAAGTTGGAATGATAATCTGAAAGAAATGTTCGGATGTTGGAGAATTTTCGTTTTGAAATTTTCTAGAATGGCACGGTCGAAGAATCATCTTCCGTGGTAAACCCCGACGTGTGCGAGCAGGAAGAAGACATTGGTATCTGCGCTATAGAGGACGACGCTACCGCGTCCGACGACGTGGAAGGCGATCTAAAGTCTACTTCAGGAGGGGATGGAGAGTAGTCAAACGTAGACGCGGTGTTCAATTTTTGAAATACGGTCGATCGTGGTTCCGTATTTCATTCATCAGAGGTTCTTACTATGCCAAATTTAAAGGAAGGAAGGTGCCTATTGTCAGGTTCCGAGTACGGTTCATGCGAAAGTGGAGAAAACTGAAACTTCGCCGTGGGAAGAGATTGCTTTATTTCAATAGAAAGTGGATAAAGCTCACTGGTCGTCGGTTTTATTACATGCTTTTCAGGGGACGCAAACTTGTAGTGAAAAAAACAAGAGGAAAGTATCGAGTTAGATACCGAAGGCGATGGTGAAGACCAAGAAGACCGCGATATGGGAAGAGACGACGTCTTGGTGGTATGGAGATCATCATCATTTAGAGTTTTCTTTTTGATAGATGGCGAATTTTAATTTTTTTGATAACCACTTAAGCTTAAACTGACCAAATGTAACTCGTATTTAAGCAACTTTAGCTTTTTACAGTTTCATTTATCGTCACTCCTTTTTAAAAGGCATGTTTATTAACTATTCGTGGTCAATTGCGTCCTGTAGGTCGAAGGCGAAGAATAAAACGGAGACGACGAGGAAGAAGACGAAGGAAAAGGCGTGAGTGCAGAAAATAATATCGATTTTAATAATAGAAATAAACAGAATAATAACAATGATAATAATAATGATAATGATGGTAACAATAACAATTAAAATAATGATAATTAATAAATTATCTCTACCGTACATTGTTGGGTTTCAGCCGTTGACTTTAAAAAAGGTTAAAGCCGGAAATATAGATATAAAAGACAAGCTTGAGACCCAGGAGACTTTGTTTTTCACAAATATTGACTAAATATAGAACTCACCAGTGCATCTTTAACCAGACTTAATTATCAGTGACAGACAACAGAACTGAACAGATAACCGGTGAACTTGTTCACGGTCAGCTATTTCGTGAAAGGCTACGGTATACGTAGTTCGTAACAATTTTGACACTCAGGATAAACGAGTTCCTAAAGTAAATTCATATATTTATATTATTTCACGAAGAAAACACGCCTGACACGAGGACCCAACTAACCTGTATTTTCTCTCGGGTTTCGTAACGTGTTAGACTTGTAATGGAGTTTCACCTCTGGATGTTTTGGTTTCAGGTCAAAGACGCGGCAGAAGGGGAAGGCGAGGAAGATGTAAGTATTCGGCGTCTGAAGACGATCAAAACACTCGAAACTATTATAGGTGTACTACGGCATCACTGCAGAGATTGCAGTCATTTTCAAACTCCTCAATCTAGCAAAAGTGTTCCTTTTTCATCTGGGATCTGTCCTCATCTTTTCGAATGAATGTTACAGTTTGCGTTTATCTTGACGAGCATTTCGCTTATCCAGAATACAACAATAAGGACGACTGAAAGATACCACTCTTCACCTGAAGAAAATTAGAATTCAAGTCCCAAGAAAAGCGTTGAAAACTGAGCTGTTTGGCGATTTAGTCGCTTCCTTGGCTGCTCGAATCCATATTAACTTCTTATGAATAACTCGTCACATTTGGTGTGTTTGGTTTCAGGGCGACGACGTGGACGACGAGGAAGGCGTAAGTATTTGGCGTCTGAAAACGAGCAAAAAAGTAAAAACCACTTTAGGTGCATTGCAAATTTAAAGAAATGAATTGTTTACAACTTAAATTTCAATTTTACTTTAATGCAAGGAAAGTTTTATCCCATTTGAGGATATTTTAACACTTTAACAATGGTTGCAACTTTATTCAGGGATTTTCTTGCGATAACTTTTTTTTTATGTTCAGTTTGCGTTTATTGGGACGAAATTTTAACTGATATTAAATACGAGAGTAAGGACGACTAAAAGATGCAACTGTGAAAAAATTTGGATTGACATTGTACGTAAATGATGTAGTATAATCTTGTGATACTCGTACCAGAACCCTAAGCAGCACTTAGTGGAGGAGAAGAATAGGTAAACGTTTTTGTCACAAAGGCATCTAATTATCCGTCTTGACATAATTGACTTTGTGGCTTTTACACAAATAGCAATTCTTAGTACACCGAATTAATTCTCGTGTGCAGAGGAGGCGTTAAATGTTGTTGTTTTATACAGGAAGGAGATACATCCGCTACCGTGGAAGACGATGCAAGGTAAAGATCAGAAGGAAATACTTCTGTGGACGGAAACGTATTTCCAGGTTCAGACGGAGAATAAGGATTATAATCCGAAGAAAATCTAGGAAAATAAAACGCTTCCGTAAACGATGGCGAGTGAGGATTAGAAGGAGATGGTGCGGACTTCGAAGATTCGGTCGAAGGTGGTATCTAAGGAGAAGAAGAAAATGGAGGAAGATTAAAAAAGTAAGACTTGTGTTGAGATGGAGAAGACGAAAACTACGGATTAAACGGCGAGGGAAGAAGTGGTACATAAAACGAAGAAAGCGATGGAGGCCTGTACGGCGTAGAGTTCGTTGCAGCATCCGGTTCCGTAGAAGGCGTTTGAGGGTAAAGCTGATTGGTAGAAGAGGCGTGAGAATCTTCAGGAAGGGTCGATATGGTAGAAAAAGGAGGATTCGCTTTAGGCGTAAGTTTACTGGTAAACGTGACGATAAAATGTATTTTTCGATGAAATATTCATATTTTCACAACCAACACAATCAGCGAATACATTGAAAGGAATCTTTTGAATGTTTCTATTGAGTGCAATACGAAATAGTTATTAAAAAAAAAAAATCAGTTATTAAAGTTATTAAAAATCTTTTGAGTTAAATTAAACATGCGTCCTTGAAAATTCGTGAAAGAAACGCTAAAGTGAATTATATGAGATCAGCATTACAGGATTATCAAATATTTTGATGAGGTTTGTATAACGTGCGTTCTGATTGGTTGAAGCAGCGTGCTTTATCAGCCAGAGTACAGAGGTACTGAGTAACGGCGTCAGGCAATCGACCAGTTTTTAGCAACAACCGGTGATTTCCCGGAGTTTCCTGTGGTTTTTTTTTTCACTCTCGCATAACTTTTAAAACCAGCCGGCTAGGCGTGTAGCTACAGGAGAAACAAACAAAAGTTTCTAAATATGCCAAGAGCGGAAATTGGGGAGATTATAACGTGTGCTGAGACGAAAAACACCAATATGAAAACGAAATGGACTGAACAAGTTTTGAAGGTTTTCAAGCTTAAGTCTTAAACTTAGGTTTTCAAGCTTAAGTCTTGAAATTAATTATGACTCATAGATTACTTTATGGAAAGTCTTTTCCGTATGGTATTTACGCACGAGTTGGCAATATTGGAGATCAAACTTGTGAAATTTCTGATACAAACCAACGAGTTAACTTTCTGATCTTGTTTTTTAGACTAACCTATTCCGACCAATAAAGTGTTGAATTCAACCTGCTGAATAATTTCTTTTTGCGAACCATTTCAGTTGGTGAACTTTGATCAAGAAGTAGGGAAAGCACTCGTCTTTCTCTTACACTTCTTTCGTGCTCTCGCCGCTTCCTGCGCACTTTACAACAGAACAGTACACAGTCGAGGTTTCTTAATTTGTTAAGGAGATGCATCGAAATCTTGACTTCTCCGATAGCTGAGTAATGAGCTTCCATTTCCGTTTATCTGTTGAAATGAATAGCTCTTTGCTAGGAAACATTTTTTAATCGAAAGATTCTTTTTTCTTGAAACGTTTGATGACAGTTTGACTGTAGACTACTTAAAAGTGTAAAATTCTTAAAACTGACCTGTTTTGAGATTGAGTCGCTTCCCCGGTTGCACGACTTCCTGTTGTCTTCTTATGAATAGCTTGTCACATTCTGGTTTGTTTGGTTCCAGGTCGAAGACGAGGCAGAAGAGGACGACGAGGACGACGAGGAAGGCGTAAGTATTCGGCGTCTGAAAACGAGAAAAAAAGGAAAACCACAATACTTGCATTGACAATTAAATTTGACTCTCGGTGATGTACGAAAGTCAGGAATTCTATTGTACACAAGAGGCTGACTAAAATTTATCCCTTGAACGAATATTAAAGCTTTGAGATGAAGGTTTAAATTCCGTGGACTTCGGGGGTCTATATTAGCGTACTTTTAGAATCTTTTGAATTTCGTATTTTACCGAGAGGAAGTTTCACCCTGTTAAGGATATTAATGTCATTTTAACAATGGTTTCCAATTTCGTTAAGGATATTCTGTGATTTTTTTTCTTTGTTTAGTTTGTGTTTATCTGAGCAAGCATTGAACTAATCCAAAATACGAGAGTGCGTACGAAGAAATTTTAAAACTGTAAAAATTTTGAATTGACAAAGATATGATATGGAGGAGTAAAAGTAGAAGCCATTAGAGCACCTTATTATCCGTCTCGACATAATTGATTTTGTGGCTTTTACACGAATAGCAACAGTTAGTTCACCGAATTAATTCTTGTGTGCAGACGAGGCGTAAAATGTTGTCGTTTTATACAGGAAGGAGATACATCCGCTACCATGGACGAAGACGCCGTGTAAAGATCAGAAAGAAATACTACTTTGGACTCCGACGGAAACCTATTCGCAAGTTCAGGCGGAAAATAAGGATTTACATCCGGAGAAAATATAGGAAAATAAAACGCTTCGGCAGGCGATGGCGAGTGAGGATTAGAAGGAGATGGTGCGGACTGCGAAGATTCGGTCGAAAGTGGCATGTAAAGAGAGGAGGAAAATGGAGGAAGATTAAGAAAGTAAGACTTGTGTTGAGATGGAGAAAACGAAAACTACGGATTAGACGGCGAAGGAAGACGTGGTACCTACAACGAAACAGGCGATGGAGGCGTGTACGTCGTAAAGTGCGGTGCAGCATCCGCGTCCGTGGAAAGGTAATGAAGTTGAAGCTGATTGGTAGAAGAGGCGTTAGAATCTTCAGGAAGGGTCGATATGGTAGAAAAAGGAGGATTCATTTTAGACGTAAGTTGGCTACAAATGTGAACCACCGGTGTTGGTAGCTCAATAAACTGTGCATGTATTTCAAGAAAACCAACTCAACAAATACATGAAAAGAAAGCATCAAAACTTTTCCTTTGAGTGCAACGTAAAAGTCGTACTATCTTATTGTTAATAAGATTAATTCAAACATTTTAATTAATCCTGCATTTTTGAAACTTCGTAAAAGAAGTTAACATGGAAGGATCATAAAAATACGAAAGCGACCAAAAAAGTTTTCACTGAGCTCAATAGGAAGATTCGTCTTCTTTGCTATTTAAGTTAAGAGTTTCCGCGTTCATTTTTCATTAAATATCTTTATTTTTTTAAAGAAACTCAAAGATGACATGTAAATAGATTTTCCATGAATTTGTTTTTCCTTCCTTGTGATTCCAAATGAGTCTTGCTGAGGACAACTTGAGCTTGAAATATTCTTAAAAAACTGACCCGCTTTTAGCTTATGTCGCCTCCCTGGCTGTTGACATTTTGTTCAATGATTACCTAGTCACATTTTGATGTGTTTGGCTTCAGGTCGAAGACGCGGCAGAAGAGGACGACGAGGACGACGAGGAAGGCGTAAGTACTAAAAAAAAGTTGAACAGATGTTGTAGCTGCATTTTAATTGGTAGAATTGTGTTTACATGTTAAATTTTCTCGCGGTGATGAAGTAAAGTCTGGAATTTTATTTCGCTATTCAATTCTTTAAAGGAAAAATAGACCTTTTGGGTTATAGATTTTAATTTAGTACATCACTATGAGGGTCGTATTGTTTGGTTTACTTAACCCTTTAAACCCTAACATCAGTGTTCATATTCTCCATACTGTTCTCTATACATTTTTTTAAGGTGCTGATAAATAGAATTTGTTTAACAATCAAGGTTTTTTAGTTGATGATCATTCCTTTATCCTCGCGACTTAAATGTTTGCCTCAGAGGTGGTATTGTTAGGAGAAATTTGATGCAAGGCACTCTCTAGCAACGCTACTAGTTCTAAAAGTCAAAAAAACAAAATGCTTTCCTAGTGCGGTTTAGTGTTGTTGGAAAGACTGTCGCAGGATCCAATGACATGAATAACTGAGGCTGATTTTGCCCGAGCTCGGTGAAATCTACCAGCAATTTCAACGTCTCCATGTTGCCATGGGATCGAGTGAGACGAACATGCTCATTCATTCTACTCAATCAACTCCCTCCCCCCCCCCCCCCACCTACAATTGACTAATACGTCATACCCATTCCCTACTGTATGCCTCTCTCGATGGGGGCCTGTCCTCTAAAAGAAAGATGAAAATGTTTTTTTCTACTTTAGGCTTTCGTGGAATCCTTTTCAGGAAACGAAACCGTAGGATAAGGCGAGGCCCATATGTAATAAAGTTTAGACGTGGGCGTCGTACATACCGACTCGGCCGATTAATATCGAGAGTAAAGCTGTACTTCCGAAGGCGATGGTATCGCCCCTTCCATCGCGGACGTCAGTGGTTTTTACGTCTTGGTAGAAGGAATTGCAGAGTCATCCAGCGAGGCAGGAGATGGATGTTGCATTACATAAGACGCTGGTATTACATACGCAGATTTATGATACGTGTTAGGCGTACATTCAGAACGGTGACACGGCAGAGGGGAAGATTTTACATAACTTTCAAAGGGCGTAAAGTGCGTTTTAGTTTCAGGCGTGTGCGATACTTTACTTTCCACGGAAGGCGTACTATCGTACGGCGAAAGAAAATAGGAAGGCGACTGTTTTACAAGTTCCGAATAAAAGGAAGGTGGACTCTGCGGAGGATACGAAGAGGAGCAAAGCGTAAGTTGCTTTTTTTTTTTTAGCGAAAAGAGCCACTGTGAACTGAGCGACTTGTAGAGAAGCAGGTAGGGGGAAGGAAGTGCGTGAGTGCGTGAGCGGGTGGGTGAGTGCGTGGGCGGG